CCCAAACCCCTCTCCCCTCTCTCTCTCTCCTGGAACTAGATAGGTAGACTAGGCTGGCCTTGATCTCACAGAGATCCACCTGCCTCTGCCACCTGCTCTCTTAGGCCCAGTGAAGGCATTCCTAGTATTGGAGGAGAAAAGGAAATGGGTTATGGCAGGAAGAGTAAGATCCCAAGATAAGACCACTCCCTACCTGCTGGTAGAAGGGAAGCAAGTGTCTCCCCCTCCTCTCTCTCTCTCTCTCTCTCTCTCTCTCTCTCTCTCTCTCTCTCAGTGCCTCCCCCTCAGCCAGGCCTGTGTGGAGTAAGTAAGGGTGAGGCCCACTCAGGCTTTCAAGTGCTGCCTCCTGCACTGAGGACTGGAAGAGCTGTCATCAGGTTATCATGACTGTCAGAAGTATGTCCCACCTCTCCCCTCAAAGCATCAGTGCTTCCTCAAGGAACATAAGTTCTATAGTCCCTGGAATAAAGTGACCTTGGCTCCAGCCCGGAATGGGCAACTCATTGCCAAGGCCAGGCCAAGGCCCCGTGCAGATTTAGAAAGGCAGATGCCTACTGAACAGAGGGGCTGGGATTCTTGCCCTCAGAGAATCTGAATTACGTACCAAATGAAATAATAGAAAGAGCCTACTTCTTGGTGATATAATTCAACCATGAAATAGTATTTTCTTAAAAATTTACTTAAAAATTCCATCATATTCTCGGCTGACATTTCCTCCCTTCTGAAGACAACTTCATTCTGACTGCAGAACCACATGCTCAGTTCCCCACACTGAAAGAAACATTCAGGCAGCCTTGACGTCGTCCACTTCCAGAGCAAAGCATTTTGGCTGCTTGACTTTTCATTTTCTTAAAGACCTAAAAACAGTCCACAGATGGCAATGGATAAACAATCTCCAGCATCCCAGGTTCACGCTCTTTTCTGACTCAAGCTGTTTAACCAGGTAAAAACTTCAGTCTTTAAAATATATGAAGAAACCTTTCAGACATGATGCAGGAAAGTGTGTAATATCAAACACCTTTGAATTTGCTAGTCAATGTAAAATAAAAGATGTCTCTTTTAGACCTTCCCTTACCCCAACTGACTACCATCTTGAATTTGGCGTTTTCTCCATGAGCTCCTAATTTCACCTTGGTTAGTTTTTTTTCATGTTTTAAACTTCATATAAAACTCCCTATATTATGCATTTATTTACGCTTCTCTTTTTTTTGACTCTTTAAATCATGAACTTTGCAGACATATCTATATTATACACATGTGCATATCGAGTATTTGTCTCTCACACCTATCACATGTATGATATGATACATAGGCATATCACTCTTTATTTACCCACTGCTAAATATTGTTTAAGTGTTCTACAAAGGATTAGACCAATTTTAATACCCATTGTCAATATGCAAAACTATTTAAAATACTTATCATTTCCTTTGTCTTTGACGTTGAGTTGATATCATCAGACTGGAACTTTCATCATTTTTATCAGGGGCATTCTTTAGTTTTTGCTTGCATTTCCAGTTAATAGGGAGATGAAGCCTGTTTATTGACCAGCTTTAAACTCTTCGAATAATCTGTTTATATCTCTTGATCATGCCTCTGCTGGGAGGACGTTGTCCTCCGTCTTGGTGCCTTTTAGAAGTTCTTCATGTTTTCTGAGTACTAAACTTCTCTCAGTTATGTGCACTGCGATCTCTTCCCTCAGTTAGTTTGTCTTTATACTTTCTTTATGGGTGAATTTTGTTTCAAAGATATTTGACATTTTCATATGGCTGGTTACATTTTATCAGCAGTTTGGTTCATGTTAGAGTAGTTCTGGATTTTTTTTGGTATGTTTCATGTGGGATAAAGTTCATTTTCTTTCATTTGCAAAAGCAAGGTCCTAGTACCATTTGCTGAGCATTCCATCTCCTTCTCACTGACCCTTCAAGCATAATTCTATTGTCTACCAAGTACTGAGCTCCCTGCCTTTTTCATCAGTCTGCTTACCTACCCTGGGATGAAAAGTTTATTTAATCACTGTAGTTCTATAAAAGGTCAGTAAAGCAAGTTCCTCTATCTTATTCATCAAAATTAGTTTGGTCATTGTTAGCACTTCTTCAATCTGCCTTTTCCTCAACTTTGTCCTGACTGGGTCTAAACAATAAAAAGTCAAAAATTAAGCAAACTGAAGAAATTAAACCAATGCCAGCCCTGGCTAATCAATAAGCGGAATATTTAACTCCTGACTTTGAGAAATCACTATGTAATAAACATAGAAGTCCATATAAAATAAAACATCTGTTACAAAACCCAAAACTTAAAAACAAAACAAACACAAAAAATGTTCTATAGTAAATAAGGCCTGTTTAAAAGTAGAAAGCAGAAACTGTCCTTTGGTTAGTACCAAAGTATTTTTCTGAAAATACTGCTTTTAAATATGCTCACACACAGAGGGTTTTACAAAATAATGCTTAAACTGTACATTAGTTTCCTGGATCCCTCAGAACATCTAATCCAAATGTCAGGCTGTCCCTAGAAGGAACCTCCAAAGGGCACTGATTTCATCATAGCATGGGTCTAGGAATGAAGTATTCTTTCTGTAGTTCAAGGGAGACTCTTTCTTTGTGACATTTCCATAACTTCATGATGATTCCTTGGTGTTCCTCAGTGCATCCAGATTCAGACGCTCTTGTATGGACCACAAGACAAGAGGACCCTGGCCACACAGCAGACCATGGACATGCTGTCCAAGTGAGTCAGCTTTCCTCGTTTTTCTTGGAATATCATATCCCTTCATGGCTGGTTCTAGAAGGTTCTGTGTAAAATCTTATTGGCTTCCCACAGCTTGCATAAAGCCAGCTGTAAAATATCTTCCTTGATCCAATATTAGAAATGTTTATTCTTTAAAAATGTCAGAAACACGTCTAGTTTCATCCTCATATAGACCAGTCCCTGCTGCTGTTAAATGCACCTGCTGGAGAGGGAGGGCATTGCCTCTAGATCTCTGCCTTGGGCTTTCCTCAGCTCTTCAGTGACTGTCAAGACTGGAACTGTAGTCCCTGTCTGTACCTTGAAGACTAGTCCCATGTCTTTCTAAACCCAAACAGAAGTTTAGTACTACCTGGGGAGTGCCCCATTTCACAGAGCCTGTACTCCATGAGAGCTATGAACTGAAGGTTGAGTCCAGGTCAGGGAAGTATATCAGCGGCCTGCACTAGAGGCACATACCAGACAGGAAGGGTACCTTCCCTTTTTAGGGAAGGTTAGGTAAGCCAAGAAAGTCTCCTGTCTGAACTTGACAGTGTTCTCCACCCTTGTCCTGCTAATGACCTAGCTAAGGCTTGACTGCCTCAGCTCAGTGAAGATGGCTACAAGGAACTAAAAGAGGAGAAACACCTTGTGTTTTATGCTCTTGTACCATGATTCTTCTCTCATCTAAATCCCCTCCTGAGGCTTCTTCACAGCTGCAAAGACTGGTGGAAACTGGAGGTCTGAGGGGCCACACTTACCCATCTTCTCTTTGTTTGCAGGACCCCCGAGGTCGCCGTGAAATCAAGGCAATCTCTGAAAGACAAAGTGGCATTCTGTACCACTGTCCCTCAGCATACTGTGCCAGGGAGGGCCAGGCCCAGTGTGGCAGACTGATACCCCAACACACCTCAAAGAATGCTCTGAGAAATCCTGGGTATTGCTATTAGAGTGCCATACAAACCTCTCTCCAACTAGAAGATGGAATTAAATAGCCACTGTGCAGATTTTTAAGAAAGCAACAGCAATACCTTGAATTGTTGTCCATCAGTCACATTCCAACATGGATGCCCTTCAGGGTGATCTGCTGCTTCTACTATTTTTATTTTTGTTCCCCTCAATGATTTCTCTTGCCAACAAGAACTTTTGCCCATGGGCACTACCACAGCTGAAAGACTTATTAAAAGTTCAGGACTTTTCAGTAGACTCAGCATCTGAGTGCTTACGGAGCCCCTCACATGGATCTAGAGCCACATTTGGACCAATAATATTCTGGACAAAACCCTTTCTTATAGGAAATTAGTAGGAATGGAGAAGAAAATGCTAATAAAGAGAAACTTGTGCTAATGTTAGTTGGTGTGTTTAAAATGAGGACTGGCGCTGGGAATGTAGTGCAATGACAGAGCGCTTGCCTAGTCTCCACAAGGCTAGCTATGGTTTGAGTGCAAAACATCCCTCATAGACTCATGTGTTTGAACACTTGGTCCCCAGCTACAGGTAGATGGGGTCTAGCTGGAGGACAGGGGTTCCGGGGAGGCAGGACTTGAGATTTCTTAGCCTGGGCCCCATTTCCTGTCCACTTTCTGCTTCACTGCAGACACAATGTGACTAGCTACCTCGTGCTCCTATTCATCCTGCCTTCTCCACCATGTTGTGCTATATATAGATGAAGATATACGTATATATGTATGTATATATACATACATATATATGTAGATATCCCTTTGAACTGTGAGCCAAATAAACCTTTCCTCCCTTAAGTTACTTGTCAGGTTCTTGATCATAGCAATGAGAAAAATGATCCTAGGAGTAGGGCCATTGCTGTGATAAGCCTGACTGTGTGGTTCTTAGGAATCTGGAAGTGGTTTGCAGGACTATGGAGGAGTTTGGAAATACAAGTGAGAGAGGCCCTAGATGCCGAAAGCAGAGCTTAATGGGCCATCCTGGTGGAGTGGGGAAGACCAGAATGCTAAGAGAAATGCTGACAGTGGAGGCCTAGCTCATGGAGTTTTAGAAGGGAATAAGGACTCTTTTAGGAACTAGGCTAAAGGTGATTATTTCTACATTCTGGAAAAAAAAAAAAAACTGTCTGCATTCTGCCATGTTCTGAGAACTTGAATAAGGCTGAATTTTAAAGTAATGGACTAATGTGTCAGGTAGACAAAATTCCAAGACAGGAGAGCTAGCATTCAGGCTGTCATGGTTACTGCTCACTGTTCTTATTCAGGTCTATGATGGGAGCACAAGTGGAGCAGAAAGATATAAAGAATGTGCCATTTGGTGGGGAATAAAATTAAAGTTGTAGATAAAGTAGGGGCAAGAGCAGCTGTGATTGTTAAAGGGATTAGCACTGTTAAAGAGAAATCTAGTGCTCTGCATTGGGACTAATGAAAGCTGCCACAAGGGCAAAGTCCCATCCAGTGAAAGCTCCAATTTGGGAAAATGCAAATTTATTTGAAAGGAGAGAGACTGAGCTGAGAATGCAGGGTTCCCCTTTGAGAACTAATCCCTGCATAGGCACACAGAGAGCCTACGCAACTGTGGTGTAAGTGGGCTAGGCTATACCTCAAGCTAGCAGCAGAACTTGGCAACATTGTCCACTAGATCCCGGTTTTACAGGTATGCAAAATGTAACTGCGGAGTCATGGAGGCTTGTACCAAGGTTTCTGAAAGTCACTGAGGCCACTCAATGTGTGGCAGGGTTTGATTCCCTGCAAGAAGGCCCTGAGGGGTTGTTGTATGAAGCTGTGACAGTGAAGCCCATGTTGCAATGTAGACTCGATGTTGGAGATGCCGGGAACCAGGTATGTGGTATCAGTTGATAGAAGTTGCAGATAGAGTCAAGCTGGCCCATGAGGGTGGCTGTGTGATTCAGGCTGCAAAACTATAGGGGTAGAGCTACTCAAGCCCTTTGGAGCCCAGATGATTCTGTCATGAGCCTCAAATACTATACATGGAGCTGAAGGAACTGGTATTTCCCCTGCTGGGTTTTGATCCTGCTTTGCTTTTATCTTCCCTTGCCATGCCCACCCATTTTTCCCTTTTGGAATGGGGATGCTTACTCTTTGCTAGTGAAAGTTGAGAAAGTCTGTAACTTGTGTTTTGGGGCAGAATGTTGTGGCTTAAATGTGCAATATCCCACATAGGCTCATGTGTTTGAACATTTGGTCACCAGGCTGTGGTGGGCCTTGAAGTGGGGCCTACCTGGAGGAAGTGTTATGGGAGATGGGCCTTGGGATTTTTTAATCCAGCCCACATCCTGTCTATTTTTGGTTTCCTGACTGGATGCAGTGTGACTAACCTACCTTACATTCCTGCTACCCTGCCATGAGGGGCTGTATCACCTTGAACGATAAGCCCAAATAAACTATTCTTCCCTTAAGTTTTGTCAGATATTTGATCACAGCAATGGAAAAAATAACTAGCACAAGACCCTTAGTTCAGCCTCCAGAACTGCAAAGATGAGGAGTCCCCCAGAGTTACCTGGAGCCTACAAGGTGCGTTTCTTTATATACTCAGTTGCTCACTGAATTTTCCTGAGCACCTACTTTATATATTAGGCCTGTGTGAAAAACTGAGAAAACAGCAATAAACAAGATTATATATGTCCCTCGGTGTGGTAGCACACACCTTTAGTCCCAGCACTTGGGAGGCAGAGGCAGGCGGATCTCTGTGAGTTTAAGACCAGCCTGGGGCTACACAGCAAGTCCAGACCAGCTGGGGCTACAGTGAGACCCTGTCTCAGAAAGACCAAAAAAAAAAAAAAAAAAGATTATGTACATCTTGTCTCATCCCCTCAGACTTGTAGCCCAACATGTCACTAGATAGCAAACATAGGATAGTGGAATTAGTAAATGGCAACGTCGCAATTGTGACAGAACTGGGAACAATGCACGAGGGATCAAAGGAGAGATGAACAGGGCTGAGGCCTTTATGGAAAGGCTATGGATAAACACTGCTGCCTTACCTTCTCCTGAGCCTCGACCCCAGGCAGGACAAGTGGCAGTTACTTCTAAAGCCTGCAAAGTCTCTAGTGCCATTGCCACAGTGTCCTTTCTCTGCAGGGGACACCACAGTTAGGTAAGGGCGGCAAAATTAAACAGGAAGTTTGAGCCTTTCTCCTGGCTCTCAAGGGAGAGATCAGTGCTGGGACAATGTGGATAAAGCACTCCCTGCGGACATGCTGATACAGGCAGGGCTGTCCCTTCTTTTCCCCTTTCTCTTATCCTGTGGTCCAGGCCAACAAGACTTCAGACCAGTGTGAACATGGCAGTAGGATTAGAGTGCACCCTTCTGTGCGAGGTCCATTTGTTAAGGTGACACCTCAAAAACTGATGGGGAAAATAAATAATGACAAATGGAGACAGGGCCTTTGTCTTCCTCAGGAGTGTGACAGCTGACATCTACCATCCCAGACTCAGGCATGGGGGATGACAAGATACAAAATGGTTTTTAGTCCCTGTGGAGTGTCCTATCTAACTGAAGACATGGGATTCAATGTAGATATTAGGATAAGAATTTTAAATACAGATGCTGCTATAGACTCTGTCCCCTGAAATTTTTTTTTTTGAAACCTTAGGCCCCATGTGATGGTATCTGGAGATACACCGTTTAGAAGGTGATTAGGTCACAAGGCAGAGAGCCCTGGTGAATGTGATCTGTGTCCTTGTGAAGAAGAGAACCAAGAGAAACATCTCTGTCAGTGACATGAAGACAGCTAGAAGGTGGCTGTCCACAAGCCAGGAAGCAAATCCACAGGCATCTTGATCTTGTGCTTTGGGGCCTCCAGAACTGTGAGGAATAAATGTGTGTTGGTTAAGCCACCCAGGTAGCACGACTAAAGGAAGGCGGGTCTGATCTGTTACTTCCTTCTTCATTTCTTAGAATATATTTTGGAATCACAGAAAAATAAACACACTTAAAATTTTAGCTCCCTCCCTAGGAAAAATGAATCTAGGAATGTCTTATCAATGGCTCCCCATCGGTGGTATTTAACTCCCACAAATGAGAAGGAAACGTATTCTTGTTATTTTTCTTGGTGAAAGGCTGCCGCATTACAAACAGATAAATTCACCCACTCCTTTGTTTCAAGCTACTATAATTTTTGAAAGATCCTAAGAAATGGCCATGAAAATCGTGCTTCAGGTAACCAAGTATCCAGGTCCTGCTCACAGTCCTGGTTTTAGCACTGAATGGCGGTGCTGTCCCCCTTTTCCATCCCTGCTGGCAACAGTCTTCTAGGCTATGATAACACTCTGTCACCAACTGTCTGGTCTCTACTTGAATACAAACTAATTGGCTTGTGCTTTCTAATTTGTACTTAGAACATGGAGTTCTGATCTAGGGGAGGATTAGAAAACTCGAACCTGCTATACTGCCTCCCCAGTAATTCTGTGCTACCACGTAACTCACATGTAAACCATGTCTGCTTTCTGTAGAGTTTGAAAGAAACCACACCAAAACCAACCAGGAAACATTCTCTTTAGGAACAATGCAGGCATTTTTTTTCTCCTCTTCAGATCTTTATTTCTACACATTCTTGTAACATTTCCCTTTGTAGGGAACAGGAGGTTAGCAAAATCAGCTTCTTAGATGATTCCATTCTAAACAGACACTTAAACTATCAAAACAACCTGTGGGAAGTTGAAAAGCATTCAATGAATATTGTCTTGTCTAAACAATAATAAACAGGAAAAGACTGGATATGTTCCCACTCTGTCCAACCACATTGCTGACTTCTCTTGACTCCAGAGGAACTAGTTTCAAAAAGTGGGGGGAGCACTAGAATAATCTGCCACATTGTAGAGGTCAGAGACCTGGTAGCCAGCGACAGCTCATGATTCCATTCTGGTAAACAAGCAGAACACTTCCTTGATGTGCATTCCAACTTGGAAATGAAAATTAAGATCTAATTCTAAGATGTTTATTTTTCAAATAAGTAAAAGTGGTCAGGATATTGAAAACCTGCTCATACCAGAATCCATTTACAAGTTCATGAGCTGAGATAACAGCATCCAGCAAGGCCAATTAGACTCATAATAGACTCCTCACTGTCACTCTATCTTGTCATCATGGGGAAGCTGTTACCTTGACCACATTCTAATATATCACTTAGACAAATACCATCACCCATTACGGTGAAATTAAATCAGCACATGTTTGACCATATTGGAAATGACAGGCTTCTGCAAAGCCGTTGCCTCCATATTAGGCTGATAAAAAGAAGTTCATTTTTGGCAGATGGATAACAAAGGCTTAAACCTTCCATTCAAACCAGCTTTTTCTCTATACCCTGATGCAAAGCACTTTTAAAAATCATTATTTTGAAAGCCATGCTGTATTTCTCCTCCAGTTATCAATGTAGAAAACACACTCTCCCCAGTCCCCCTGCTGTTGTCATTCCTGGGACTGGAACCCAGGATGTGATCTGTGAGACACATGGGGCAGGGTCCCTCCAGTGCCACACTCCTACCCTTCTTGAAAGTGGCATCACCTCTGATTCTTCTTCCTCAGTGCACTACAGGCAGGTCTGTGGCCTGGGTTACATGAAGCGTGGCTCAGACATTGTGTAAAAGCAGCCAGTCCACACTAACAGGATGCTGTGCTATTAGAGACCATTTTTATGTTATGTTATGTAGCTTCAAAAACAATACCCATGTGTAAAAGAACAATTCCAAATGAGCACATTCATCCTATTAAACTCAGTGGTACACATCTTAAGGTCCACGTTCTGTGACCCATGAGAGTGGGACTTGTCATGTTCCAGAGCCTGCCCTGGGTGCCTTGTGCTGGGTTGCATAGGAAACACCCAGTTCTTTCCCCCAAACACTATTCTACCTAGCAATTATCCATTTCCCTGGACAAAACACCCCCATTCTCATGATTTCTGTCCAAAGTGCAAAAAACTTCTGTGAGGTTTGTTTATGGCTGTTGCTTTTGCATCTTCAGTCTTGGAGCGCAGAAAGATCTCCAAACCATAAAATGGGGGCTTAGAATGACTCCTTTGGGAAGCAAAGTCTACTTTGTGCTTCTCATGTTCCTGCCAGGACCAATTTGCCAGTCTGGGCAGCCTAAGCAGCCACACCTTCCTTACTGTCTGCAGGGTTGCCTCTCTGCAGCACGGTTCTGATGCTAAGGGCTGAGGCATGGAGAGGCTCAAGGACACAGCTTCCAGGAGTTTGTGCTCCAGACCTTAGGTCAGCACAAGAAAGTATTCTGACTGTGAGCTACCTCACAACCTAGTACTTCATAAAAGAAATGGTATTGTAAGCAATTCCTGGTCTTAATTTCCTGGATCTGTGGACCAGGGGAAGAGACCCTGTACAGACAGCACAGATATGTGGATTTGATAATAGCAGATAAAGCTGAGTGCTCCATAAATAATATTAAGCATTTTTTCTTAAAGTTTTACATATAGAAAACAATTCATTCAACTTAAAATTACTAAAAAATCTCTCCTAAATAACTTTTTCCTAAAGAAATCATTTAGTAGGTTTTTTTAAAAAACATACAGTCTTGCTTATTTTCTATGATTTCTTTTTAAAAGCCCTAGGAAAGAGAAAAATCTATTTTTTTCCTTTACAGTGTTAGCTCATTATTTCATATTAGCACATGCAAGCAAAATCTACTCTTAAATATATTATTTTATCTAGCTAATGTTTAGACGTCTTGCTTATAGATAATTTCAAACAATGTAAGCAATGTCTGTGACCAGATGCAAAACTGATAGAAACTGTCTCCACAAGGGGAGGGAAAAATATCAGAAAAAGGAACTTTTTAAGACCAAAAAAGATAAAAGTGTTTGTAAAAGTCCCAACTCAAATGCAAAATTCCAAAGCCTTTAAAGGCACAAGTCAATCTGAAACATTTACACATCAGCTAAAGCAGATTGGCATCACTTGGGGTTCTCTAAACAAAGAGAAGTTTTGATAACCAGCCTCCCCCTGCTCCATAAAATTAGTAAAGGCTTTTGTATGTTGGTATGTTACCAAAGTGCCATTTAAGACAGGATATTTTGTTTATCAAAACCATCCATCACCCTCCTCCTCCTCATTATCTAGATAGAGGAGAGCAACTTTTTTTTCATCTGATGCCACCGACCTTTGGTCTACCATTCTCTGCAGCTGTACCGTCTTGTCAAACCCAGCCTGTTCCGTGCCCTTTTCTCCGAGGGTCTGGTGTCCATCCCCAGCGGAGGCCTGAGAACTCGTAACAGCTACCCGCTCATTCCTACTGTGAGCGGCTCTCCAGCCACCACCGTCAGACACACTGTGAGCTTCCACTTCTGACCCTGCATCTTGGGTCCAGCTGCGGATCGCCCTTGCATTACTCACGTCCATCTGAAAGGTAAACGAAGTTTCTTTGGGCCCCAGTGCAGTGTGGCTTAGTGTGTTGCTGCTGTCTGCTGACTGGCCTAGCTCAGGGGAGGCGGTTGAACCAGGGAGTACAAATGTTTTAGACATGGGTCCGTGGATGACAATGTGCTCAGAGGTTTCCTTCTGCGTAGGACCTAGCTGAATGTGTCTGAAGGATCTACTGATGCCTACAGTCGCCTCTGTCCCATTGTCCCCCACACTGTCCTGAGGGGACTCAGAAACGACCCCCTGGAATGTATTCTTTTCAGTCATGAGGATTTTTTGACCTGAGGTGTAACTGTGAGTGGTGTGGGTCATATCTGTTGAGCCTTCGATCTGGACAATGTCTTCTGAGTTGCTAAGTTCCACTATCTGGGGAGCTATGGAGGCTTGGTACCTCTGAGGTCCAAGATCAATGTGCCGAATGGATGTACTCCTCCCTAGTGACTCTTGAGTGTGCACAGACTCCCCTCCTACACCCCACTCCACTTTGTCTGGGAGGGGAGCTATGAACTGGATTTCCTCTCTGAGTCCTTCTTTAGGGCCTAACTGGAGGTGCCTAACAAAAGTCTGGGCACCCACTGACTCTTCATTTGCAAGGTTACTACCAACTTGTGCTCCCCCAGAAATAGGACCCTGAAAATGAATTTCCTTTTCAGCACAAAACTGCTCAGAGCCAAACATGCTGTGGCTCCCTGGGGTGTCAGTTTCTACAGACAGTGCTACTGGGTCTGGCTCTTCTATGTTTCCTGTCTCCTGCCAGGCAGAGATAGGGCCTCGGAAGATGACTTCTGTGGACACTTGACTTTGGTGGGGACCCAATGTAAAGTGCCTAACAGAGCGGCTGACTCCCTCAGAGGCCTTCTGACTCAAGTCCCCACTTACCTCTACCACCTGTGGGGTGGGTCCTCCATAAGACACCTGCTCAGTCCTCCACATTTCAGTGGGGCCTAGTTTAACATGTTTTATGGACTGGCTTACATCCTCCAGCATGTGAGACTGTACAAAGCCTCTTGGGCTGGTGACTTCCACAGTGGCCGACACCGGGCCCTGGGCAGTGGGCTGGTCCAAACTGTGAGAGGCTGGGCCATCATCATCCCTCTCATCAGATGGGTTGTACAGTTCCCTGGTGGCCCAGCGCTTAAAAAGAATGCCACCAGCTGGCACTTCCTCTCCATCTTCCCTGTCGGGGCTTCTAGGTGTTGGGCTGGACTGCTTGCTCAAGCTCTCTCTCACCACTGACTCCACAGCCTTCTCTATTTCCCCAGCTTCATCCCTGCTCAACTCTTCCAGGTCTAACTGATTAGCATCCACAGTCTGGGAAAGGTTGACCTCAGCTACCAAGGTCACAGAGCCACCAGCAGAGCTTTGGACTTTCTTTACATCCACTGAGACACTTCCAGGCTCGCCTTGACCCTCTCTGGTCAGGGCAGATAGCTCCTCCTTCATGCGCTCTGGAAGGGTTTCCTCCAGCTGCCCAATGACCTCCACCAGCTGGTGCCGGGGCTCCTTGGAGAAGACACCCTTGATGGAGGTGTGGAACTCATGTGGTATTTTTATTTCTTTCTCAATGACTGTAGGTTCAGCATGCAATTCACCACTAGCTTCTTCTTTCCAGTGAGCAGAACCCACCATACCAGCCATGGAAGGTGCTGGAACCTCTAGGGCCTTCACATCCTTCTCTTCCCCCGTGTCCTTCTTTTTCCGTCTGCAAGTCCCCTGCACAATTTCATCCTGCCAGGAGTACCGGATAGTGGACTCTTCCTCAATGTGGATCTGCCCATACACTGAACCATCATCCTCTCTGTCATGTACCCCAGGGTATTCATCTGGGGTAGACACAAAGTAGCTCTGCTCTCCCTCTGAGTCGCCTGCCTCTGTCACTTCTTCCACATGAGGGATATTTCCCTGGGGGTGCTTGGTCCTTTGATGCTGGTACACTGAGAATGCCACATCGGTCTCTCCATCATCATTCTCTTCCTCAACAAGCCCCTTGGAGCTGGAAGGCACATCATCGATTTCTTCCACTTGGAAGGGGGTAGAGAACTCCTCTGCCTTCCCACCACCTACGTAGCTCATGGGCTCTTCCACAATCTCCACATTGACAACCTTGGCTCTCCCCTCCCTTCCTTTCAGACCAAGATTGATCATCTCTCCTATCATCTTCTCAGCTGACTTTCCTTTCAGCCCCACTTCCTTGACATCCTTGCTTAAAAGGTAGTCCAGGCCAGCTTCATCAGAAACATCGATGTCTTCTGTCAGCTTAGACTCCACGACTATTTCTGTCTTTGTTTTCCTTTCACCAGGAACTTCTTTCCTGTTTACGTAAGTTACTTTTGTGTCTGGGGAAGAATGAGCAGTCTCTTCGACGTTGGGAGACTGGGTAAACTGCTGAAGGATGGTGGTGACAATATTTTCTGCTATAGTTTCTGTGGTAGAATCACCTTGCAGCAAACTGGCAGGGTCGTGGGTATCCAACCGGAACCTCATCTCTCTCGTCTCTGCCTCTCTCCCCTTACTCTCACCAGCATCCTTCTTCCCAGGTGCCTGCAAGCCTTTCATGGACGCCTCTTGTCTGCTGCCCTGGGATACCTCTAGGTTGATGGCTACTTCCCTTTCCTTCACACTGTTCTGCTTCCCTGGTTCCTTCTCTTTGGCCTTGTCCCTCATCTGCTGGCTTTCTCTCTTTCTCGCTTCTTTATCTAACTTGGTCAGTTCTTCCCACCTCAAGTTTCTTTCCTCGGAGGCCTTCTCTTTCGAATCAAACATTTTCTTGTCTGGCTTTATTTTGATGAACCCTTGTCCATCTCTTTCTTGTTCCCTGGTGGCTTTCACTTCTATTTTCTTTCCCAAAATGACAGTCCTCTCATTTGACGGAGTGCTGGCCCCACCACCTACCTCCACACTGCCTCGATGATCATGGTATGACTCCCGGACAACAATGGGCTTTGTGGCCAAGCGTGTGGGCATGTCCCTGATGCCTTCAACTTTTGGTCTGTCTGGGAATGTTTTCACTTGAGCAACAGTACTTTTTGCAAGACCATTGGTTTTTGAGACAGTACTGAAATTGGCTTGACTGTTGATGGTTTTCTCATAGGCATTTTCATGCCAGGTAGTAGCTGAGGAAGAATACCCCGAGGTCAGGAACCCTCTTCCGGCAGCACTTCCAGCATTTGTGGCTGTCTGAGGTCCAAGGGGCCCCGATTCTTTCAAATATAGAGCCGAGCTGTGATTTACAGCCATCCAAGGTGATTTTTGCCTTGGGAAGAGATTTAGTTCGTTTTTCCTCTGTAATACTGAGTCAGTATAGCGATAAGATGTGTTTCTAAATTCTGTAGAAATTGAACAAACAGTTCATTTAGATGACAGGCATCATTTCTCTTTTAAATGTTAAAAGTACAGGTGCAGGTCAGAGCCCATGCCATCATAATATACATTATTATTACAGGAAGGACATTTTTAAGAAAAGACAAATTAGTGTTTTATAGCTGTAGAAATCCTGTCACAATAAGTATCGCCCTACAGATGCTTCAGCCTGACAGTCTTCTCCAGTTTCTGATTTTAAAATATTCTCTCATCTTAAGAGAAATGTCAATGGTCTGAATGTAAAACATAGCAAGTGTGCTGAAGAGGTCAGAGGCGCTGTCTTTCCTGGTTAAGATTTCACAATATTATGATATTTCAGAATCCTATTTTCTACTTTGTTGAGGTAAGTTGATTTTTACTTATTTTAGCAGACAAGTACTCTATAATCATTGAACACCAAATGGCACACCTCTCCTCCATTTAATGTGCTCTCCTTTGTTACTGGTTTCTGTGTTGGGTCAACAGGTGCTGACAGCTTTAACTTGTCTAAGCTGCCTCATGTCTATGTTTACACTTGAACTTGCCTCACTTAATAAGACAGAGTTGTACAAAGCAAACCAGTTGTCAGCACTCTCATCTATCCTAATGCCATGATCCTGAAGCTGAGTAGCATCCTTAGGGGTTCTGGCTTTGCTCAGTATCATCCTCAGAGAGTACTACCCTTCAGGTACACAAACTCCACCAGGGTAACCAGCTCTTTGGCATGACAGCTGGGAGTTAGAACATGACCAAAGCACCATCCACTGAGAGAGCATCCCTTAGTGTCTACCAAACCCCAGCTGGCTAGAGACCTGTCTTCCCCTTGGTCTCTTCCTCATAGCAATGGAGGCCAGAGGCTTCCCTGAGACAGATTCCAAAGATACAGGAAAGAGACCAGACCAGGATACGTTTTTTTACAAAGATTTCTCTTCTCAGGTCAACATACTGATCCTCATCTATGAACCTCCAGAAGATGAACCCCTAAGGTCAGCAAGAAATATGGAAGATCAGAGGCTGGTTTTAGGTCTATCATTTTAGAGGCAAGCAACCAACATTATTTTAGGCCATATTACAAAAGGCAACTAAGTACAAAATAAGTATTGATCGATTCACTAGGAACTCATCTGCAGATTTACACCACAAATAGTGGGTGTAGAGAACTACTTGGAAACTTAAAGACAGACTTTTAAAGTTCACAACGTCTCCTTTATTCTATAGCTTCTTTCTTTGGTATAATACTGTTAAAATAAATCTAGTTTATAATGTCAAGGGTCTACATTGTTCAAGAACCTTAAAAAACAATGGACGAATGAAACAAGTTAAGCTTCTTTCTAGGCTCCAAGGTCATGACCAGTAAAACACCAGCCAAGCCTCACATTTAGTGTAGGTCTTCCCAAGATTTAGGTCCTAGGTCCTTTCATTCTCTCTTCTAAGTCTAGGTCATGTGGTAGACTTCTAGACATACATACCCACAAGTTAAGATTTTAGGAATCTTTGAAACCTGGTGAATGAACAATTCTTATTTTCCAGTTGTCAGATGTTAACTTATGTCAGGTAGGCTAATCAATGGCCATTTCCATGCATATATATTTTGTTTTGTTTTGTTTTTTTGTCTTTTTTGAGGCAGGGTCTCCCTGTAGTCCCAGCTGTCCTGGAACTCACTATGTGGACCAGGCCGGTCTTGAACTCACAGAGATCCGCCTGCCTCTGCCTCCTGAATGCTGGGATTAAAGGTATGCGCCACCACACCTGGGCGCATATATGTTTTTTAAGACTTATTCTCAAAATGAGAAAGTAAACTTGCTGGATGTTACTTAAGGACAAATCCCTTCTAATCATAGATGATCAGAACCAAAGTTATGATGCTGAACCCAGAGTCTTGCCAAATCTGTGAAGTGGCAATGAAAGCACAAACTATACCTAGTAAGTACATGGCTGACTCCACGGGCGTCAACTATGGGTTCTACACCGCACACTCAGTCAACCAAAAATCAATACTATTTTCAAAATAATACATCTAGACTGAACATGTGCAGACCGTTTCTTGTCATTATTCCCCAAACACTGTGGTATAACAGTGATTTTACATGACATTGGCATTGTAGTAACTACTATAAGTAATCTAGAGAGGATTAAAGTGTGCGGGAGGAAATGCAAATCCTACACTATTTTAGACAAGGGACTTCAGCATCTGCAGACTGTGCTATGCATGGATGTCTTCGAAACAGTCTCCCCCAGACACCAAGGAATGATTTTATACTGAAGACACCATGTGTCATTTAACCTGTCATTGCTTAGCCAGACTGTCTTTTAAGGTTCAATGGGACTTAAATATTTTATTTAAAAGTTATCCTACAGATTTTTAGGGTATTTCAAATGGACATTGAACTCTACTGTGTTAGCTCTATAGCTATAGGAAGGGTGGCCCTGATTTACAACTTTTTGCCTGAACTAAGTAAGGCAGGGCACCCAGCTACATCTTCCTGACTTGCTACTCCAACCTAAGGTGGTGAGTATGGTGTCACTGTCCCTGGTGGGGTAGCTGTTTCCAGAGTGTTGGACTGCCTATTGTCCAAAGGAATAATTTCCCATGCTGGTTATAGCCATAACTCTCTGGCATGGAAAAGGAAAATGTGTCCCTTCCAAGGGCATGATGAACAAGTCCACATCCTTACCTTGACAAGGCCTGACTCTCCATTAGCCCCTTCTGCCCCTTAGCACACAGGCTAGTACCTCAAAATACTGTCTGCATGAACAAATGAGTTCATCAAGCACTTTTGAGGTCATTCTCATTCATATTATAATTTAAATTAGGTCCCATCCAGCTAAAATCTATTTGGTATTTAAGAGAAAATGAACTATTATCTGAAAAACCCATGGCTAAGCCCAGTCCTTCCAGATAAGGTGATTCCTCCTCCACCCACGGAGTGCACAGCTCATATGGAAAGCATTTTAATGTTGCAATTCCATTTACCTTGTGGCTTGTTTTCTATGTCCTCAGTCCAGATCAGTATCTCCGGATTACTTTCTCCTTCCAATAAGGCCCTGTGAAAATTATTTTTAAAAGCAGCTCATTATAGAATGAAAGACAAAGAAGTGCCTTTAATCAAATATGTTGGGTAACATTTGGCCAGTGACCACACTGTCAAAGTGCCATACATTTTAGGACCTGTGCCTGGAGATGTGGCTTAGGTAGGGGGCTATACCATGGAATAGTGCCTCCACAGACCCAGGAAGGATAGACTGCTCTGCTCACTGCCACACCCTGGCACCCAGCACAGTACCTGCTACCTGAAAGGATGCGCATCTGAATTCAGCTGAAAGAAGAAAATGCATGGGCTGGGCTTCAGAAATTCTGGAGAGTTGAGATTTCTAGAAAGTACCCCCTGTAACAAACAGACAGACAGGAAAGCCTTTCCCATCCTAGGCAAGGAGGGACAGGCACAAAGTCATCAAGTAGTGCTGGACAGACTGGTGGAGAAGGGCAAAGCCTGATTTCTTTGGTCAGCAGAGCGAGGTCTGGGGCATTGCTTCCCTTGAGCTACAAGGCAGAACAAGTGAAACCCACCAGGAAGAACCACCAGGTAGGGAGTCGGTAGAGGGCTGACTGGGAGTACAGCAAGGAGTGTCAGGCACTATTTGTAAACAAGGCATCTGGATGGCAGCTGGCACTTCTTCCTTTTCTTTTTTTGGTAATGCTGGGGATTGAACCTAGGGCACTCACACATGATAGGCAAGGACTTTACCATGGAGCTATATCCCCAGACCTATGTGGACAACTTAGAGATGAAGGCAGACAGGTAGAAAAGCACCCTCTGGGCACTTCACCAAGATTGGCATCCTGTTGCTTCCTTTAATAATAAGTAACAGAAGATACACAGTTAAGTGATTTCTTTAGTTATGTTTAGTTCTAAAATTCTAACCTTCATTAAGTTGTCATTTGTATCTACCACTTCAGAGTGGTTGAGGAAGATGTGGACCCAACAGACAAAACATACTGGGGCCAGGGGTTAGAACTCCGGTGCCAATCTACCAGTCACTCCTAGAGACCTGTAGGGCTGCTGGAGGCTGTGGGTACAATAGTTATTTGGTTGCTGGAGCAACATGTGAAATCACTAACCCCAGCTCCCAGAGATACACTGAATATAGCAAAGGGCAGCAAGAACCACAGCCCAGTTGGAAACACTAGTATTACTACTCAGAGCCAGCAGGAAAACAAGGGGAGCCCAGATCCTGGCCAGGATTTGGCAGCTTTGGGCAGCTTCACGAAGGTTCATTGCCACAGAGTTAAATGTGGCAATCCTCACAGAAGCAATGAAAATCCTCTGGTGAACATAAAGGAGGTAGAAGGGGTTCACCTGAGGTACACATGGGTGGGCTGGCCACAGAAGCAGCCACAGAAGTGCACATACATGGAGATACAAGAAGACCCGGGACTGAGGCCAGAGCCCCAGCCCTTCCACTTAGGTTGAAGGCCAGGAAACAGGACACCAGCCCATTAATTCCACACCCTCATGACCAAGCGGTTTAGCTTCCAAGAACACAAACAGCTTCCATCATCGGGAAAACTCTGAGGTCTGTATAAGAGGAATGTCCTGGGGGGGGGAGGTCAGACCCAGTGGGTCTCTACCCTAGGTTTACTGGAACAAGAAGAGGTAGCATGCAGTTTACAGCTGGGCCAGAGTAAGGCCTGAGAAGATAGCCAAGTGCTAGCTCAGACCCTGCTTAGCAGCAAGTCTCAGGTGCCACAGGGCCTGTCACTCTGGCTGCCTGACTCAGGACAGTTCAAGTCAGCAGAAAAAAACATTCAGGGGATCAACGACAGGCGAAAACTATGCCTTCCCGACCTCTCAAAAGAAAATGGTTCTGTTCCTCTTTCAGTAAGAAGCCAAAGCATGGCCGCCTGTCACTCGTTTAGTTTTATACCCTCGATGTCTTAGGGAACTTCCTAAGAGATTATCTAGTACCAAACTACAATGTGGATTTTTTTGCAGAGAAATGTTTAAAGTGGGATAGTAAAAAATGTAACAAAGGACTCCTCACCAATATTTTATGTTGGCATCACCTAATTAACCAGACTTTGGTGTACTGCAATAAAATAAGGAACTGTTAGAAAAAAAAAGAAAAAAGAAGCCAAAGCATTATCCAGCCTTTACTGAGGTCAGATAAACACAGAGCAGGACAGTGTCACTTCTCTATACACTCATTCTGTGGCCCTGATACCCCACAGCACAAGGCTTTGCCCAGAACCCTGTCTGAACTGGGAAGACAGTGTCTTAGCCACAGCATACCCAAAGACAGAGTCTCGGACACAGGTGGCATGAGCTTCCAGTCCCTCACCATCCAATCATCAGGCCTTCCTGTGGGGCAAGAAAAAATGACATATGCATTTCTTGCATATGTCAGAACACAAAAACCCTGCCACCAGACCTTGGTGATTTCATGCTCCTAACTGGGCTCTCTTTTATGATCCCTACTCTGTGCCTCCTAGTCAATGGCTGGAAGGCAAGGGCACATGTGACCTTGTTTACCCTGAGTGTCCAACACAAGGTTTGAGATGTACAGCTGGCCTCTGGGTTTTCAATTCATGCCATAGGCACATGCGCACCTCAGTGACAGCGCTGGATCCTGCCCTGTCAACAAAGCTTCCAGGACTAATAAGGCAAAGGCAGAGACTAAACCACTGAGATGTCCTGTAACGTTCTTCAAAGAGCAGCTTAAAGAATAGCCGTGTACAACTTTAAGAAACACGCCGTGCATTTTCTGAGGCTCCCATCAAACCTGGTTATTTTGAGAACAGTTTGGGAAAACTGCCTGGAGGCCACCAAGACTGTGAGAAATACCAATCCCCTGACTCATAGGCTATTAGAGAGCATTTCACACAGCTCTACATACAGGCTGGCTGCCTCTCTAGCAGGAAAGCAGGCAAATAAGCAGGAAACCCTAGTCTCTGGCCTCATTAGGGGGCCAGCACAGCTCCATGATGTGGAAGGCAGTGAGCTGTAATGTGGCCTCTGGCTCTGCTCCAGGCTCTAATGGGCCACTGGTGTCTGAACCAGCCTTGATGGGCCTGCCAGTCTGGAATGGATGATCCTAATAGAGTTTCATGGTGTATCTGCTGTTGCTTAGCACTGTGGGTGCAAGGTTGCCTTACAGTATACCTCCCATAAATGAAAACATGAGTGAACGGAGACGGACAGAAGGGGACGTTTCCAGAAGTGACACTATGGAGTCTGCCACAGTCCTAAGGTCTGTGGATGGTTCACATGTGTGGCTCTAAGGGAGGGAGAAGGGGGGACATGGACTTTCATATCTGCCTCCTTCACCCTGCCTACCATATATAACAAAGGTGAGCATCACTGAGGGAAGGCCATAATGTTTGTCACCTCAGACACCAGACATGGGCCCACAGCTTGTCAGTCACTGGGAGGTCAAAAGAATAAGGGAGAGAAGAGAGAGATGGGACATGCAGAATTCCATTCATATGAACATTATGTCCTTGGATGTGGGAAGGAGGTGAGGGTAATAAGGAAGGGACAGAGCTAGTCATTTGGGGTAATTTCTTCTGTGGTTAAAATCCTATCCCAACAGTCAGCTCTAGGTCAGTACAAGAGAGAAGAAATCACGTGGTCAACAGACAAGCAAAGGATGCTGATAGAACAGAATAGAAGTACAGACAGTGGACAAGCTCTACTGGAAGATGCTTTCACTTAAATCCTGAGCCTGACACTTCTTTGGATCCACAAGCCTCAGCAGGCCACTCAGACCTGTCATGACTCAGTTTCTCCAAGTCTAAAATGGGAAGAACTCCAAAGTTTGGAGTAGCAATTAAGTAACCAGTGAAAAGTTCATCAAAGAATGGCTCTCACTGTGTCGGGGCTGGATAAATGCTATCATCATCATCATTATCATCATCACCTTCTTTAGACTGGAAGAAAAGTGATTTTTCAGTTAACCAAAGTCAGTCATAGAGGAAAGAGATCCTAGATCATTTAAATGTATGGTTAGTTGAGTGCTATTTTGTTTATCTGGCTAGCAAACAAATCTATTGGTCGATTCTCTCACTTATTTTGTTTCTCTGTTTTTGAAAGTCTTTTTTTGGGGGGGTCTTTTTGAGACAGGGTCTCCCTGTACCCTCAGATGGCCTGAAACTCACTATATAGACCAAGCTGGCCTCAATCTCACAGAGATCTACCTGCCTGTGCTTGAAATAGAGTCTTGTTATTTAGCTCAGGCTGGCTTTGAACTTCAGAGCCTCCTGCCTAGCCAAATACTTATTCTTAAATCTGTAAGATTTTGTTCATTTCACATATTTTACCTAATAACCAAGCCTCTGTATGAACAGATATTTCTAAGTTTTCCAAAAAAGCAGTATTTAACTTTTAAAATAAATGAAATGTACTTCTGTGAAAACGTGAGAAAGCTCTAAGAAATGTTCTTTGAATACACATGAAAAAATACAGGAAGCCTGAAAAATCATCAAACAGCCAGAAATACCACGAGAATGATTAGGCTGTGAACACTGGAGTTGCCTGCATTGTTAACTAGCAGTCTAAGTGCAGATTAGAGATGGAATTCCATTGTCCTCAGTTAAAACATGCTGCTGTCTCTGTCCACTGTGATCAGGAAATGGGAGGCTCTGCACACATTCTCCCTGTGTAGACACACTAAGAGAATTTTTTATGTGACTGATTTTTTATTGTATAAGTGTATGCACATGTGTGTACAGACATGTGTCTGTACAGAGCCAGAGGAGGGCTTCTGGTGTCCTGCTCTGTCACACTCTGCCTTATTCCTTTGAGACAGGGACTCTCACTGAACCTGGAGCTAGGCTGGTAGCCAGCAGGCCCTAGTGATTCTCCTGTCTCTGCCCACAGCACTGGAGTTATAGCCCACAGCTATACCTGGCTTTTTAATGCGTGTTCTGGGGGTCAGAACTCGGGTCCTCATGTTTGTGCCGCAAGCGCTTTTACCCACTAAGCCATCTTCCCAGCCCTGGCCTGATGTGACTGTTTCTAACTTAACCATTAAAAAAAAACAAACAA